GGAGACACTGAGGAGGAGACTATACAGAAAGCATTCATATGTGGGAATAATCCTTAATTTTCAGTCTCATCATAACTACAGAATGAAGATCGGAATACTGAGGAGTTTGATCCTCATAAGCTTACAACAAATGGACACTGAGTTCTGGGACGAGGATTTAGACAAGATGACACGGATTTGCCTGAGTAACGGGTACCCCAGATAATTTATAGAAAATAATGTAGTAGTTATAAAGGGCCGATTTAAACTCGGATTTTATGAAAATCAGATCAGGAATCGGGAGGAGGACCAAAAGTGGATTTGCCTGCCCTCATCAGAACTGAGCCATCATTTGCGACCATTAATAAGGGAATGGAATCTCAAAGTGATAGCAAAAGCGAAGAAAACACTTTTTACTAGTCTGCCGAAGCAACACGAGAAGAATGACAAACTTGATTGCTCGGGAGTCTATAGCATCAAATGCGGCAACTGTGAGCAGAAGTATATTGGGGAAACAGAAGAAAAATCGGCATACGAATCAAGAAACATTAAAGATTCTGCAGGAATATGGAAACAGAAAGATCTGAAATAGCGGAAAAGATTGCACGAACGGGGCACGAATTTGACTGGAAATCGACCGAAAGGCTGGCTGCATATATTGTGAAAATACGAGAAAACGCAAGATCCCAGAGGCCATCGATATACTGACCGAGAGAAATGTAATGAACAGGAGACTTTAAGGCAGCATCGGCGAAAACATTGCATATTGCCTAAACAAACTAGGAGAAGATCATCAACTTTAAGATCAGCAAAAAGAAGACGACTGGATCAAGGTAACATCCTTAATTTTACGAAAAGAAATCGCAAGCGGGCCAGAAAGGAACAATCAGATATTTATCGGAAATCTAAGGTCACTTAACTAATTTTAGAATAAATATATAATTTTGCGTTTTTATACGTTGACTTTCAAAATAATATATATAAGTTGCATTCGGCCTGTTTCTTTTGGGTAATAAAGGGATTGGTAGTTGAATTTTCCCACGATCTAACAGTAGACTTGAAGTTTCCGTTGAATTTCACACAGTTTTGCTTTCCCAAAAGGAATTTTCATCCAGGGTGGGCTGCAGTTTTTACCTCGCCTAGGTCTTATCAGCCCACCTAGCGGGACTCTGACCATGCCAGTGCAGTGTATATTCTCGACACGTTAACCACTACGCCACATTGCCAAGAGTCCCCTTGATTCAAAGGTCAGATGTAACTTTAAAGAAAGTTCAGACATTTTTGTTTAGAGATGTTGATAAGATCTAGGCGAGGTAGAAGCTGCAGTCCACCCTGGATGAGGATACCTTTTGGGAAAGTATGGCTGTGTGAACTGTAATGAAAGCGTCATGTATACTTATGTCATCATGGGAAAATTTACCTATCAATCCCCTTATCACCCTAAACGAAATATGATTAATACATCTCATAAATATCTAATACTTGAAAATTTTCGGATTGAACATAAGTGGGTTCAAGAAATTATCTTTTTTTATGATTACCTTAAGATGGGCCATCGAAAGTTGCTAACATTAAATACGATTCATTACATTTAAAGCGTAATGTGTAACCCCACAGCTTATCTTTCCTATACAGCCCTTAAAGGTAATTTTCTCTTTATATATATATATTTATTGTCTAGGATCCTGACGATTGCTTTATTCGACAGACGAATACCAGCTTTCAGTATGGTTACGAGTACCTTGGAAACTCAGGTCGCCTGGTGATCACACCACTAACCGACCGTTGCTACATTACCCTGACCACTGCACTTCATCTGCACCGGGGTGGGTCACCGAAAGGGCCCGCTGGAACCGGTAAGACAGAGACAACAAAGGACCTCGGAAAGTCGATGGGGGACTACGTAATTGTAGTGAACTGTTCCGAGGGTCTTGACTACAAGTCTATGGGCCGGATGTTTGCGGGCCTGGCACAGACAGGAGCCTGGGGCTGCTTTGATGAATTCAATCGGTGAGGAGCGAGGCCGATTTAGAAATTAGAATTTATGTCCCATTATAGAGATGAGTATGGCTTACTACACAGCTGATAATTTGTTATATAGGTATATTCCTCTCATTTTTCCTTATGTATATTGCAGTATAGGTTGTGAGACCCACTCACTTTAATCTGCGAGAATTTATATATCAATCCTTCATCATTTTGGGAGACCTATCGTAAATACGGTTCTTATTCAAAACTATTCTAAGTTAAAATCCGAATTATTCTCATTCGTTTGTTTACCACTATAAGAAATGGTGAACATTATAGTTGTTTAAGCAAAATATTTATGCTTGGTATAGTTCTTATTTCTGTAAAACTTAAAACTTCATCATTATATACTTAACACCCCCAAATTTGCTCTTAATAACCAGCTATAGCTTATATATATGGAATGTAAATATATAGTTTTTCAAGTTTAATGCTAGCTGATGTGTTCATATATCATATATAAGAGATATCAGTTAGCAATGAAGAGGCTTAATTGCTCCTGACTACGCCCAGAAGTCCGCATAGAGAGGCAAAAATTATCCCTCTGGGTCTATAATGTTGGGCAGAGGAAGTTGCCAAAAGATTATGAAGCGTACAAGCCTTATGGATCCATAAGCGAAAATAAATTATGCACTTGATGAGACTAAGCATATTTTTATACTCACTAACCCAATATTTTATACTGAAAACATTTAAATACACATGCAAAAAGCCAAGAGGTTAACTTGCTTCGCACTTTTATAAATTCTAATTATATTATAACAGTTAACTTTAATTTAATTTAGCATATACATCAAAGTAAGCCCAAATTCACTTGTGATATTTGCTTATTACCTATCAAAGTTTAATTGCAATTACTACCTTTTAAGTACGAGTATCGATGTCCTTGAATATAAAGTAGCCATACTGAGCCAATACGATACTATGAAAGATGGTGTAAAATAAGCTTTGGATATCAGAATGCTTATATTTTTGGTTTTGGTGGTGACAAAGGAGAAGAAAACACTTTTCACTAGCCTACCAACGCAACACGAGAAGACTGATAAACTTGAATG